CCAGAGTAATAATAAGAAAAGCAAGCTTCCTCCTGGGCACTGGAGTGCTTGGGCCCAGGGATCCCTGAGGCCCCATCTGTTCACTTACTGGCCATGACTGGGACTCTAACAACCAGGTTCTTCTCTAGATGGTCTCCCTACCCATGAAATGTGGAGGACACACCTGTTAAGTTAAATGAGCTAAAGAAGGTAGTGGCCACTTTTATTTATTTATTTGTAAAATATTTTTTATTGGTTTCAGAGATGAAGGGAGAGGAGGAGGAGAGAGACAGAAACATCAATGATGAGAGAAAATCATTGATCGGCTGCCTCCCGCACCCCACACTGAGGATCAAGCCTGCGGCCCGGGCATGTGCCCTGACCGGGAATGGAACGTGACCTCCTGGTTCATAGGCTGATGCTCAACCACTGAGCCATGCCGACTGGGCTAAATTTAGTACATTCTTCAGCCTTGGCTGCCCACTGGGGTGGGGGTAAGTAAATCCGGGGTTCTGAGCCTGGGAGCCTCTGGACTACTGGTTTGGGGGAGTTCCTAGGTCCTTTCAGGAGGTGCTTCTCTCCTGGCCCTGGAGAAGTCCTTTCTGCTTTCTCTTCAGTCTAGAACAGGCATGGTTCCTTCTTCTCCTTTTTTCTGGTCTTTGCTATATAAGGATCCTAACAGGGGAATGGGTGAAGAAGGAGGTGAAGGAGTTGCTAGGCAGGAGGGGAAGCCAGAGGAGCACTGTGGGGGTGGTGCTGTGGGTGAGGAGCCCAACCAGCTCAGCCAGTGGTGAGGCAGTGGAGCCCGAAATAGTGGCAGAAGCTAAAATTGGCACCTACAAGAGTGCTGAGTTGGACTTGAGACCTGCAGCCTGCCCTCCTGCCCAGCGAGCAGGTCCTGGGAGCCGCTCAGTCTGGACTGGCTCAGTCTGCCACTATTTCGGGCTTCCTCCCTCCTTCCCCGACACCTTTTGGGACTAGAACTGGTCAGGCCCCTGCTGCTCTGTCTCAGGGCAGCCCATGCTTCTGGTTTCTCCAGAGGTGGGAGACCCTGGGAGGCAGAAATGAGCTGCACCGTGAGTGGGTGTAGCTAGGGAGTGGAGGAGGAACTTTCCCAGTAGCGGGAAGCTCACCAAAGGTGGAGGGTGCCTCCAGGGCTGGCGCCCCATCCCCCTTCTCATGGAGAGACGGGCCTTACCCCAGCTGCCCCTGACTGGCACAGGCTGGTTTCTGGTCTCTTGGGTCTGGCCTCACTTGCAACAGTGAGAACTAGACACCAGAAAGGGCTTCCTTAGCTTCTTAGCGTTCAGGTAGTGAATTCCTCTCCACCCTCAAGTATTAGGCAGGGGCGGAGGCAGGAGGGGAGGTGAATGGACAGAGTGCGGTCAGGAAGGCCGCAGAGGGGTGGAGCTTGCAGAAGAATTCTCCCCGCTCCCTCTGTCCCCCGGAGGTGAATCGTCTCCTTCACGCCTTCCAAACACCCAGCCTCCAGTTCCCCTTCGACTTCCCCGCCCTCTCTCCACCCCGACCCCCAATTGTCAGGGGAGCCTGTCATCTCCGGCCTGTTTGCTTTGAAGGGCCGAGGGCCGGGAAGGAGCTGGTGGCCGGTTCCCTGGGGACCTGGGGGCGCTGGAACCCTCGGCCTGCGGGTCTCTGAGTCCTGCAGCGGGAGGATGGAGGGCGGAGGATCTGGGCTGGGACTGGGCTGGGACTGGGCTGCGGGGCTGGGCAGGGCTGGCCTTTTGGAAGACGAGAGCTCAGAGGCCGCTCCCTGGGGCCCGAGGCCGCTCCAGGCGCTGGAGGGGACCCTCCACTTGTCGGTGGAAACGCGCTCACGGCTCTGCGCTGCCCCGGCCCAGACCCAGCAGTTGGTGCCGGGGGCACCCGCCCTGCTCTGCCCCGCCTCCCCCTTCCTGCGCCTGGGCGGGGGGTGGAGACTCCGGTTTGAGGAACTGGCGCCGGTGCTGCGAGGGGAGTCCGGCTTCCTGTCCCCTGAGCGACGCGTGCGGGGCAGCCCGTCCCCCGCCACCCCCACAATAGCTGGACGCCGGGGCCCCAGAGTGTCCCTCTGGCCCCCCCTCATCGGGGGATTATGTCTCGGATCGAATCCCTCACTCGGGCGCGGATCGACCGGAGCAAAGAGCTGGCGAGCAAGGTGGGCTTGGCGACCCCTCCCCTCCACCCGTCCCCAGGGCACCCTTCAGCCCCCGCCCACAGGCGCACCCCCTCCCCCGGTCGCCCCACACCGAAATCGGGGAGCATCCACCGGGCAGGAGGCGGGCTGGGTGGGTGGGGACTGGGTAGCTGGAGTCATTGGGGAGGGGGTGGGGGCCGGGGACAGACCTTGCTCCACCTCCACCTCCACCTCCCCGCCCGGGTCCGGGGAGAGCGCGGGCCAGGTGTCGGTGGCCTCGGATCCGGCGGACCGGGTGCTCGGGCCTCACGAAAGAAAGTTACTCGGGTAAGGGACAGAGCGGGAGGAGGGGTGCATGGGGGGGGGGGTGGCGAGAGCTCGGCGGCACCCCCTCCGCCTGCTCCCGCCGCCGTGCTCTTGGCGTCCCCACAGCCCGCAGTCGCCGGCTCGGCTGTGCCCCCTTTGTCCCGCCATCGGAGGGCCGAGGGGGCGGGAAGGGGTGGGAGGGGGTGGTTTCCCGGCTTCCTCCCGCCGGCACCTCTAACGCCACCCTCCCAGACAAAAGTCAGCTCCTCCTCGCAAATGGACTTTCCAGCTGTGATTCAGTTCTCTCCGGGGGGAGGGGGGCCGGGGTCGGGGCGGCGGATTTCCCCCGCTAGCGGTCTCGCTCAGGTGAAGGGAGCAGAGGTCTTTGTGTAGCTGGGATCCTTGCCTCCCTCCTTAGGGGCCCTGAGCACCCCTGTTCCCGCAGGGCCCCCTGTCCCTGTCTGCCCCACCAGCTTCCAAACTCCTCGTTCTCGCGACCTGAAACCCTTCCACTGACCCACTGGGCACGGTGCCCCCTTTGTCCCTCGCCCCCCTCTCCCAGCTCCCTTATTTCTTCGTCAGGGGATGTTTACCAACCATTTAACGAGTCTGGGTGTATAATTATCCGCTCCCCCACCTCCATCATGAGGTCTTGGCCACTCCTTTCCAAGTATCCTTTATCCCTGTCTTTGTACCCAGGCCCACTCCCAAAGGCCAGGACCTCTGCACAGCCAGACCCCAGGAAGGGATGAAGCTGACTTGCAGATGGATAAGGGGGAGCTAGGAGGAAGGGGGTGCATGCAGACAGCACCTCCCAGCCGCGCAGGGTACCCACACGGGAGCCCTTCTCAGAAAGGCCAGGCTGCAACCCCAAACTGGTTTAATCTTTGGCTTCTCTCCCACCCCAGGACCCCAGTGCCCTGCCCCAGGCTCCCACCCTCTACTGATCACTGCCCCAGCCCCCTCTTCAGGCAAGGAAGCAGCCCCCTCTGGAGCCCGCAAGGATGGTGGAAACCCACCCACTCCTGGCTCCTCGCCCCCCCTACCTGTCTTGAGGCTAAGTTGGGAAAGATTCCATCCTGGAACTTCTCCTTAGCGGGCTGGGATAAGAGTCTGCTAACAGGAAAACCACTGGGGAGTTGAGTAGGGCCTAAGACAAACTGAGGGCTGGGAGAGGTGGCTGACTGCGGCGAACGGTGGGGTGGCCTGTGCCAGGCCAGGCCCCTGCTCTGAAAGTCTGTTTATTTTTCAACCGTTTGAGCTGAGACCCTGGAGGAGAGCCAAGGGGGGTGGAGAGCTTTTTGAAACCACGGAAATTTGGTTCCGCCCAAAAAAGGAAAGCCATGGGGGAGAGGGGGTACAGAGAGGACTTCTGGGAGGATTGATACTGGAGGTCCTCTTTCCATTATTGGGAGGAGCTGGGGGGCAGATACCTGGGTCCTCATGTGGGCTGTTGGTTGGTGGGGAGGGGGACCTGGGAGTCTGGAAGCTTGGCTCTTTCTGTCCTGGGGTGGCCATGGGGGAGGGGGTGGTTGGGAATCTGGCTGGAGGGTGGGGTGTGGGGGGCTGAGTGGGTGGATTTTTGAGGGCAAAGAGGCCACTGGAACTTGTCAGTTTGGGCTGGTCGGAAGAGGAGGGCCACCTCCGGAAAGCTGTGGTTACAGAAGGGGGGAGTTGGTTCTTAGCCAACAAACCCTGGATCCCCTCTCCCCCCTCCCCCAAGCCCGCCAGCTGTCTCTTTTCTTTTTATACAGTGGTGGGAAGTAGAGAGGGGCCTGTGGAAATGAAATTATTTGAGGAAGATGGTCTCTCCTGCTACCCATTTGGGGAATAGCTCAAAGCTAAGCCCTGACCCTCACCCCGCCCCCCACCCCCCGTCCCCATTCCTTTCCTTGCTCCCTAGGACCTCGTGGTTGTAGGAGAAATTTAAGTCAAACCTGCCCTTTTTGCTTCTCACTCTCGCAGTCTTTCTGTGTGGCTTCCCCTCCCCATGCTTCTCTTTTCCTCTCCAGTCCATTTTTATTCTTTCAGGCTGTCTTCAGCCCTCCACCCCCTCAATTCTCTCTGCTCTACTTCCTACCTCCACAGGCCCCAAACCCAGAGGTCTCCTTTCTCACTTAAGCGCCCCCCTTCCTTTTCTCCTCCCCCAAACCCTAACCTTTCTACCTGCATGCCTCTCACAGAACAAAGGGTCTTTTCCTGCTTAGGATCAAGCAGGGGGTCCAGAGACCCAGGGGTGGCTGTGGAGCCTGGAGGGGGTCTCCTTGGAATCTCTAGGACCCCAGCATTGGAGTGTGGTGGGCAGGTGGAGTGGGGAGAAAGGAGAAAGGCTGTTTCTTTGTCCTGAATAATGGAGAGGTGGCTGGCTTTGTGTGCAGGAGTGGAGCCGCAGAGGAAGGCTGGGTGAGCCCAGGAGGGGGCTGAGAGGGGTGGCAGTTTGGGGGAATGTTGAAGAGTCGGGGATCCCCAGGAGGCGGAAGCTTTTGGGGGCGTAGGAAAAGATTCTAGGTTAGGGAAAGAGCTGAGGGGGAGGGGAGGTGCGAGGATGGGGGAAGGGAGCGGAAAGCTTAGGGAAGTCACAGGACAGCAGGGGAGTTGGATGAGCCTAGAGAAGAACCTGCTGGGCTGACCAAGGGGTTTAAAGAGGGCTCTGCTCTCTGTCCCTCTGGCTTTCCTGGATCCCTGACCTTGGAATCAGGGAAGGGCCAGATCAGAATGTCTGAGTCCCATGCATGTACATGGCCTGTGTTGGGGTCTATGTGTGCATCTGTCTGTCTGTCTGTCTGTGCCCAGATGCTCTGGTTTACAGCTTTGAATGGTGGTCACCAAAGTAGGAGGCTTGTACTTTGGACTTGAGGAAGCTTTTCCGTCCTTCGCTTCAGTCTCTGATTTGAAGTATTGTCCAGGAGCTTGTGTGAGCAGATTGGTTAGGGCTCCTGGGGCTGATAAGAGAAATGACTGAGAGGAGCTGGCTGGACCTTTCTGGGTTTGTTTATATCTCCTTGGGGGAGGGGGCCTGCAGGCAGCAGCTGCCCCCTCCCAGCTCCACCAGCCTGCCCTGTGCCAGGAGGGCAGGGAGTCCTGGCACAGCTATTGTTCGCTTCACAAATGCCCGTCTGTCTGCATCACTCCCCCTCCCTCTGCTGGTTTCTCTCTCTGACCCGACAGGTGTGGCCGGGTGGGGGGCAGGCTGGGGTCCAGGATGTCTGGGTCTCAGGGTCTCTAGCTCGATTTTATTCCCGATGACCCTTAGCACCCCTCTTTGGCTTCACCAATGTGCCCACCCCCATTGTCCAGTGTTTCATCCTCATTCATGAAGCAAGCATTTATTAAGTGCCTTTGTGTACTCCGTGGTATCTTTTTGTGTTATGTGTCTGGCTTTGGCGTTAGTATTTCAGTTAGCTGCCTTCTCCTTGGCCTCCTTTATCTTATCCCTGGAAAGTCACAAAGGGACAGAGCCTGGCTGAGACCATCCCAAGCTCTCTTCTCAGTCCCATGGCCAGGAACCCTCTGTCTCCTTTCCCAACCCTATAGCTCATTCCCATGACTCACTGCCCTTCACGGCCCATGACTCTGCACCCTTGCTGGCTAGGGACTGAGCCACAGATGACTCCAATCCCAGTGGAATCCGCCAGCAGGTCTGGACAGAGGCCTCACCATCTTGGGGAAGGGGCTGCTGCCAGTTGCAGCTGGAGCAGAGGTGATTCTGAGTACCACGTGACTCCCCCAGAGCCCTTGGTTTGGATACACCGGACGGAGGAGCAAGGACAGCTGAGAGCTTAGGGTTTGCCTTGGAGAGGCTCCAGCCAGCCCCTGCTGCCCGCTGGGAGCACAGGAAGCCAAGGTCCAGGCTTTGGCATTGCCTTGTCCTTCATGGATGTTACTGTTTTCCTCGTCTCTCAGCCTGGGAGACGGAGAAGTTGGGAGACAGCTGCTGCCTATGAGTTTTTGGGCAACCAGCCACAATACCCTCTGCTATTCACCTAGTCTTTTCTCCCCCACAAAGTGACTGAGATCTGGATGACAATGAAGGAAGGGTTGGGTTGGCCTTCTGGCCTCTAGGTCTAAGCTCAAAGGAAATAAGAGGAGGGAAGAGCTGGGAACCCTCCAGGAAGAGAGAAAAGGAGGAATGAGGAGAGCAGACTGAAGGCTTTGAACCTCTGACAAGGAATGAGGGACCCTAGAGCAGGGGTGAGGGTGCTGCTGGGACCTTTTGTCTTGGTGTCCATCTATCCGTCCGTCCGTCTGTCCACCTATCCTTCCTTTCTTCCCTTCTTTCCCAACATGTATTGAGTGCCTGTTGTATACCAGCCATTGTGCCGGGTGCTTTGTTCACTTTAGCCTTGATGTAGCAGTAGATGAAGGCTGTGTAGCAAGAAAGACTTCCCAGGTGGGTTTATGAGAAAGAATGACTCTAGATACGGGGCCGCAGAGCATTGGATCAAGCAGGAACGGTCTCTGAGTGTCGGTGGTGGGTGTTGTAGATTATGGAGGAGTGGGCCCTTTTCTTGGTGGACAGAATGGGGTGTGGAGGTGAAGGGCTGTCCTGCTGGGAGGTGGTTAAATGGGAGACCAATGTGATAAGAATACCTGGAAAAGAGTAGGATAAAGAACCAAACCCACCATTCACTCCTCTCTGGAGCAGGCACCCTGGTGAGCAGGCCCTGTGTCCTCCTATCCTCACCAGCCTAAGCCCAGGGGTGGGCAGAGTCTGCCTCCAGGACAATAGCGCTAGGCAGTGCCAGGGCGGCTTGCTGCTGGGCAGTGCCCATGTTGGGATGTGCTGTTGCTCTGGCTGCTGCCCGCTGCTGGCCCACCTAGAGAGGGGGTCACTCTTAGAGAGGGTGAGTATTGGGAGCTCAAGAAGGAAGCCTGGGCACAGAGTACCTGGGTTGTCTATGGGGCATTGGTGCCAGAGAGGGTGGGCCAGTAGAGACCCCATGCTCTGGCAGCCCCAGACCTCTCCCTCCTCCTTCCACCTCCTTCCCAGGTGAGTGCTCCTGGAGGCATAAGAGTGGAGGGCACTCTGGTGAGGGGAGGGAGAGTGGTAGCATCATTAGGGCCGATCTGTACCATTGTCTGTTCTGGAATCGACCTTGATTTAGACATGTTGCTCTTTTAAATATGATTATTACATTAATATTCATTTTTTTGCTTGCTTTTATGAAAAATATTTCAATTATAATTGACATTCAATATTGTTTGCTTGCTTTTAAGTCAAACATAGTAAGTGCTCAGACCTTTTATTTGTGTCATAGAGAAGCCTGGGAGGGCAGGAAAGGAGGAGAGGACGGAGTGTATGACAGTGAGAAAGATATTTGGACTTGGTCTCTGAGGTCCTATAAGGTGCTTATTCAGAGCAGGGTTTTATCTTCCATAGAGCAGGCAGATGGAGGTTAGACCGAAGGGAGAATTTCCTAGTGGTCCAGGTAGGTGGTACCAGAATAAAGAAAGGGAGGCCTGGAACATTGGAGGCTCGAGTTAGAGGCTGGCCCGCTTCCTTAACCAGGCCTAGGTGGAAGAGGAGAGGAGGCGGGCCATGGGATGGAAAGGAGACCAGGAGACAGGAAGAGAAAAAAGAGGAGGAGGAGAGGAGAGGAGCAAAGGAAAATGGAAGACCTGGGTAGGAAGTGACCTTAGGACCTCTGGTCTCTGCCCATCTGACAAACCTGGAGCTCTGAAGGGAGGCAGGAGAGAGAAGGATCGGGCCACCAGGAAGTCTGGAGACATGCTAGGGCATTGTGGCCCCGTGCCCTCTGGCCCCTGTGGTGTTGACTCAGCCTGGCCACACTTCCCTTTTCTACCCTAAGCACCAGATCAGGGTGTCTCTGCCCCTCCCCCTCCTCTTAACTGCTAGTGTGGCAGGATCTGGGAGTGACTGGACTCAGGCTTGGGCCTGAGGTCCAGCCTGAGGGCTCTCCCCTGAGCTCTAATTCTCTGTCCCAGGGCCCCCACCACTGTCCCCCACCTCGGGGCTCAGACCCTTGGCTTCAGCAAATGATCCACTGGGTTCTGAGGGGCTGGGAAGCAGGGGGTGGTCCTAGCTGCTGTTCCTGTTCTCCTTCTTTGACAGAGGCTGCTGCCGGAGGCCCTGGAGCAGGCGGGAAGGATGGTATCCCATCTCCTCCCCTTCTCAGGCTTTCAGGAAGCTCAGTGGCTTGAGGGGGTCAGAAAAGGGGTCCAGAGGTCAGAGGGGAGTGGGAGGAGAGAGCAGAGATGGAAACAGCCAGCCTCTGAGGTTTTGAGGGAGGGCTCACAGTGTGCCCCATCTCAGGGGAGCCCAGAGCCGGAAGGACTGATGTGACAGCTGGAGGATGGAGGGTAGATGTCAGAAGGAACTTCCTTGGATAGGAGAGACTAACTGGGTGAGGAGGAGGAGAGGGGGCCATCCTAGGTTTTGGAGGGTTTTTGAGAAGGATAAAAGTTACACCGCAGGAGAGACTTCCTGCCAAGAATGACACCTAGCCAGACACCTAGCCAGCCGAGTTTCCTCCCTCCCTTAGAGCGAGAGGAGGAGTGACCCAAGGCCAAAACCAGGCTCCTCCTACCCCAGGGTTAGCGGAGGAGAACACGCTGCCTCCTGCCTCCGGGCCGTGTACTTGGCTGAGTGTGTGTGGAAGAGTCAGAGGTTTGGGACCCTGACTCTGGGTTGGGGGTAGCAGTGGAGGCATTCTGCCCCCTTCAGCCAATCTAATAAGGGGACCTCCCCCCTCCCCCCCCACTGTGACTGCCACAGAGACAGTGACTCCAACACCGGTTGTCATGGTTATAAGAGGAGCAAACTCCCATAGATCTGAAAGCGCTGTGAGCTGGCATCCTCTGCTTCGCCTGCTCTCCCCTCCTCTCTGCGCATATTCCTCTGGCACAGAGAAGAGCTCAGCAGCTCGGGGGCGAGCGGAGCTAGGGCTGGAAGGTGGAGTGAGGACGCCGAGGGCTAGACCGGGGAGATGAGTGGCAACCGGAGGCAGCCGAGCCGCAGGGGCCAGGTTGGTCGGGGCCAGCCGGTCCCCGGTCCCCGGGGCTGGCCCGAGAGCTGCCGCAGGCTCCGCTGTAGGCGGTGGTGTGGTCTTTCCGGCATCCCTCGGCATCCCTGGCCTGTCTCTCTGGACTCTTCCGGCACTCTGGCGTTTTCCAGCCTCACTGAGTGTTTCTCTCACCCCTTCCGCAGGCCCGGGAAAAGGAGAAGATGAAGGAAGCCAAGGATGCCCGCTATACCAACGGGCACCTCTTCACCACCATCTCCGTTTCGGGCATGACCATGTGCTATGCCTGTAACAAGAGCATCACAGCCAAGGAGGCCCTCATCTGCCCAAGTAAGTTGGACCCTGAATGTCACTCTGACTCTCATCTTCCCATCTGTCCTTTCTGCTCTGGATCCATAGGGGTCACCCTCCACTCAGAGCCCAGCTGGGTCCCAATGCCAGGGCCAGATGCTTGCTCCCTTGCTCCCTTTCCTCCCACCGAGGGGTGGTGGCAGTCGGACTATGGCACAAGCAGGACTATCTGGGAGGGTGGGGGAGGGGAGGGGAGGATGGCTCCCAGTGCAGCTGTCATCCTCTGGGTGTCCCCGGCTCCCTGAACAGCTGGGGAGCTGATTGGAGCAGGAGCAGGAATGCATGTGAGGGCAGGTGGGGGCAGGCGAGGGCAGCTTGGTGGCAAGCTACTGAACTTGCAGCTGGCTCTGCCTATCTTCTGGGCAGAACTGGACGCTCAGGACTCCCGGGGCCCCTGGCCACTCCCTTTCTGTGGGTGGGGCCTGAAATGTCTGCAGCTTGAAGCAGAAGATGGGCTTAGGACCCTCTGTCGCACATTCTGGTCTGACTGACTACACGGTTTAGAGAGGGCACCCAGCAAGGATGTGTGTGTTTTGGGGGGTGAGGGTTAGACGTCCTGACCTTCACCTACATCTGAAGGCAGCCTGTATTTAGGAAGTATGATTCTTCCTTCTCCAAAATGCCTATGCAGAGGGCTCCTGCCTTGTTCCACCCCCACCCCCAATTTATGGCAAAGAGCTGCTTGTGACCAGAGCAGGCCTGAGGTATTGGGACCTGCTGCTGGTGAGTGGGACAACGGCTGTAGCCCTCAATCCCTCAGGAACTGGGGAAGGAACCCCAGAAAGGACCACTGTTTCCTCGATGCTCTACTTGGAGTGATGAGGATGAGGAGGGAACCCCAACCTAAATCCCTCTAGAGACCTGACAAAATTCCCAATCCCGAGCTTGTTGCCAGGGGAACTGGTGAGGCGGGCAGCCTGCAAGTGCTATTTTGAGAGCAGGTGGAAAGCGGAGGTTCGCTCCAGAGACACTGGGTGCGAGGGATATAGGAGAAGGGAGCTCCTGGGGGGTGGGGGCAGCCCCTGTCCCCACTTCTGTCTGCCCCCTGCCCCACCCTGCTCGCCTTGTATTTGTGGAAGTGAGCGTGGTGCTGGGTATTGTCTGAAGGAGTTAGCAGAATTTCCGGTGTTGTTGGATGGAGGAGGGGAAGCTGGAGAGGAACAAGTGCTGAGGGCATGTCAGGGGAAAGGGACAGCCCGTGGTTCCAGTGCTGGGCTTGGCTGTTCTCCCTTTCCTCGCCTCTTCTACCCCACGGCCAGGTGTGTGGGGTGGGTGATGGGGAGAAGCAGATGGAGTGTGAGCGCTGCAGGTTCGCCTCAGTTAGAGAACAGGATCCTGGGCCTGGAAGAAGGCAGATTGACTGGAGGCAGAGCATGCAGAGCTGAGCAGTGCAGAGGCAAGCAGTGGAGGGAAGGGCAGGGCTGGGCCCAGCCCCACTCTACCACTGGGTCCATCGGCCCTCACCCTGCGTAGGCCTGGGCAGAGTTCATGGGCAGGCGTGTGGTTCAGTGGAAGGCGCAGGCACACCGGAGTTGAAATCCCGGCTCTACCTCTAGCCATATGACCTCTGGCAGGTGATCTAGCCTCGTTAGGCCAGGTTCCTCATCTGGAAAAGAAGGAGAGCTGAGTCTACCGCAGAGGGTTGTTAGGCCCACGTAAATCTGGGACACTGACTAGATGCTCAGGGAATGTTCATTTCTCCCCTCGGCCCCTAGTCCCCTTCCCAGATGCTCCTGTGCCATCTTCGCTTCCGTGGGCGTCTTCTCTTCCATCTGTCGTTCTCAACCACCTTTGTGCTTCTTGAACTCATCTGGCTGCCAGTAACCCCTTCTTCCCTCTAGTCCACCCCTCAGGCCACCTTTGAGCCTGCTGCTGCCCTGATTACTTAGTTGTGGTCAACACCTGTACCCCTAAATTAATTTCCTGCTTGAAGGAAGGAGGAGGCGGGAGGAGAGGGGCTGGGGCGTGGCGATGGTTGAGAAGTCTGGGAAGGGAGGACAGTCTCTGAGACTGTGGCCAAGGGGAGATGGGCGTCGGCATATGGGTGTGCCCCCTCCTGCACCACCCGGCCCTCCCTTCACCCTCTTTACCCCACCCTCCCAGCCTGCAATGTGACTATCCACAACCGCTGTAAAGACACCCTCGCCAACTGTACCAAGGTCAAGCAGAAGGTGAGATGGCAGGGAGGGCAGAGGGCTGGGGGAGAGGGTAGCGAGTGTGCGGTGCCCTCATGCCCTTTCATTCATCCCCTGCCCTGTGTTCCTCAACCCCTCTCCTCACCGTGGGGCAGCCCAGACCCTCCACCCCAGACCTCAGGCCTGAGCGGGCCAGCCTATTGCTATAGACATATCTCCCCGGCACTGGGCTCAGCCACCCTGAGGATGGTAGCCGTCCTGCCAGCTTTCTCCTGTCCTGGGCTGTGGGGGTGACGCTTGGGTGACAGCTGTCCTTGGTGCCTCTCTCTCGCCCTCTGTCCCGCAGCAGCAGAAGGCGGCCCTGCTGAAGAACAACACTGCCCTGCAGTCTGTGTCACTGCGCAGTAAGAGTGAGTAGTGAGGGGGTGCAGGGGCCCCCCTCGAATGTGTTCCCTGGCGCAGCACCTTTCTCCCCTTAATTGGAAACAGATGGTGAGATGGGCACTCTCGGGCTTAGGGGCAGGACAGAAGACCCCCAGGGGCGTGAGGACGTGGGATGGCTGGCGTCTGCACCTGCTCGCACCTGCACTGTTATGGTTCTTACTTACGCTGCCCTTGGGTGTTGGCGGCAGCGGCCAAGTGTCCGTTCAGACCGCGCTGGTGGAACAGGAAGAGCGCGGTGCTTAGTCAGGTGTGAGTCCCTGCTCATCCACTGGCTGAGTCACCCCGGACGAGACTGAGTCCCTTTCTGAGCTCCAGCTTGCTCATAGGCATGTTGAGGGGAAGGGCTGAGACAAGAAAAGCTCTGTGTGTGTGAAAAGTATTGCACAAATGTAAGGCAGCATCGCTGTTAGCATCTTCCTTCGATTAGAGTGGGTGGGAGAGGAGGCCGGCCTTTCCGTGGAGGAGCCTGGGAGGCCTGGTTCCTGGGCAGGCACCACGTGTGTTTGACGTTTGCCTGCTCGGTGTCCCCTCCGCAGCCACCACGCGGGAGCGGCCGAGCTCCGCCATCTACCCCTCCGACAGCTTCCGGCAGTCCCTGCTGGGCTCCCGCCGAGGCCGCTCCTCCTTGTCCTTAGCCAAGAGTGTTTCCACAACCAACATCGCTGGGTGAGCCTCTGCTGGGGGCAGGGGAGCCGGGTAGGCAGAGAAGGTGGCAGTGGGGACCAGCGGGCGAGAGGTCCTTGCCACGCCTGGGTTCAGAATTAGTCAGACAGGTAAGGAGCCCTGGGGGTGACTGCCTCGCGGGCCCGGCTTCGGTTCCGCGCCTGGGAAGGGCTCTCTGGCCGGTGATGGAGTGATGCAGCCGACCCGCACTTCCCTCAGACACTTCAACGATGAGTCTCCACTGGGCCTGCGCCGGATCCTCTCCCAGTCCACAGACTCCCTCAACATGCGGAACCGAACCCTGTCGGTGGAATCCCTCATCGACGAAGGTGACCATGCGGGGTCTGGGGACACCCGGAGAGGAGGGGCTGGTGGGCAGGCCCAGAATGGCAGAGCCGGGGGGGGTCTAGAGAAGGGCCCAGGACCTCGGGGATTGGCTCTGAGTTGCTGCCGCCACTGATGTCCAGGTGCAGAGGTCATCTACAATGAGCTGATGAGTGACTTTGAGATGGACGAGAAGGACTTTGCAGCCGATTCCTGGAGCCTCGCTGTGGATAGCAGCTTCCTGCAGCAGCATAAAAAGGAGGTGATGAAGCAACAGGATGTCATCTATGGTGAGCCAGACCACCCCGAGACTCCTCCGCCTTCACTAGGTCCTGTCCGTTGGTGTCCTTCTGCCAGTCCCCACCTCTCAAGATCCCTCCCTCTGACCCCATTGGTCTCCAAGACCCTGCCTGGCATCCCACAGATTGCCACGAGGGACTGTTGGTCTCCAAGGCTCTGTCTTTACCCCTTCATTCTAGTCAGTTCTTCGTCTGTACCCTGGGCCTGTTTCATGCCCGTTACCATGCTAGGGACTGTGGGAAACCTAGACATGTAGACAAATACATGGTCCTTGCCCTAAAGCAGCTTACGACTTCAGATGACAATCATAAAGACAAAAAACGATTAGAAAATGACCTACGATCGATCATACTAATGCAGAATGTTGACCTGGAAGGGGCCTTGCAAACCTCACGTCGTGCTCTGAGGTTCCCAACCGAGGCCCCACCTATTGTGGCCACGCCAGGGTAGAGGCCAGATGTCCTATTGTCCACACAGAGCTGATCCAGACGGAGCTGCACCATGTGCGGACGTTGAAGATCATGACCCGCCTCTTCCGCACGGGGATGCTGGAAGAGCTACAGCTGGAGCCGGGAGTGGTCCAGGGCCTGTTCCCCTGTGTGGACGAGCTCAGTGATATCCACACACGCTTCCTCAGCCAGTTGTTAGAGCGCCGACGGCAGGCCCTGTGCCCCGGCAGCACCCGCAACTTCATCATCCCTCGCTTGGGCGACCTGCTCATTAGCCAGGTGAGAAAAGGCGGTGTAACTGGAGTGGGCCTTTCTTTTTTCTTCTTTTTTTAATGTTTTTGTTGATTTTAAAGAGAGAGAAAGGGAGGAGAGAACATCTATGTGAGAGAGAAACATTGATTGGTTTCCTCCTATACTCACCCCAATCGGGGATTCAACCCACAACCTGGGCATGTGCCCTGACCTGACCGGGAATCGAACCGGTGACCTTCTGGTACACAGGATGATGTTCAACCAACTGAACCATACTGGCCAGGGCTAGGGAGGGCATTTCTTGCCCCCAACTCTAGGGGGTAGAGCCAGGGAGAATTGGAGAGGCAGGAAGACGCCTGTTTGGCTGGAGGCCAGAGAGTACACAGGGGATAAGGGGTGGCTTTGGGGGAGATGCTGATCTAGCCTTGCTCCCCCAACTTCTAGTTCTCGGGTCCCAGCGCGGAGCAGATGCGGAAGACCTACTCGGAGTTCTGCAGCCGCCACACCAAGGCCTTGAAGCTCTACAAGGAGCTATATGCTCGAGACAAACGCTTCCAGCAGTTCATCCGGGTGAGCAAACCTCTCCGGGACCCAAACCCAGCCTCCCCCACTCCCGGGTGCAGGTGGGCTGCACCTGCGTGGAGTTCAGGTGGTCACCAGCCCTGTGGGCCGGCCTCCGGTGGCAGCACGGCAGGAGCTTTCCACTGCTTGGTCTGATGGTCCTCACAGTAGATCTCATTTTCCAGACGCACTCACCTAAGCCAGCATGAGGTCAACGGCCGAGCTCGTGCCAGCACCGGAGCGCAGGCTCCCAGTCCAGCCTTCCCCGTGTTGCCCTCCCCCCGCCCGCCCCCGCCCTGAGTCCTGCCTCTGTCCTTGTAGAAAGTGACCCGCCTGGCTGTGCTGAAGCGGCATGGGGTACAGGAGTGCATCCTGCTGGTGACGCAGCGCATCACCAAGTACCCGGTGCTCATTAACCGGATCCTGCAGCATTCCCACGGTGAGAGGCGGGCTGCAGGGAGGGCAGGAGGGGCGGGCTATTTGGGGTAACGAAACGGCTTGGGAGGACCAAGGGAAGGGAGAGCGTCAGAGGCGGAACCTAGGCAGCCTCTGAAGGTGGGGTCACGACTCGGAGGGAACTGAGGCTGGGGTGAAGCTCGCTGAGCCACCCCTCATGCTGACCCGGTGCCAGGGATGGAGGAGGAGCGCAAGGACCTGACAGCGGCTCTGGGGCTGGTGAAGGAGTTGCTGTGCCATGTGGACCAGGATGTGCACGAACTGGAGAAGGGGGCCCGCCTGCAGGAGATCTACAACCGCATGGACCCTCGGGCCCAGACACCGGTGCCCGGCAAGGGCCCCTTCGGCCGGGAGGAGCTTCTGCGGCGCAAGCTGATCCACGACGGTTGCCTGCTCTGGAAGACTGCGACCGGCCGCTTCAAAGGTCAGTGGTCACCTCGCAGGCCAGGCAGGCGTGGGCAGTCAGAGATGGAGAGGGAGAAGCATTCGGCCCTTGCATCTCTCTCTGCAGCTTTACGCCCAGGGGAGGCCTGGTGGGAGGAATAAGCATGGTCTCTGTTGCAGCGAAAGTCTGCACTCTGGGTTTAACTTTACGGACCAATCCGGGACTTTATCAGTATTTATTCGTTTCTTTTCTTTTTTAAAATTTATTGATTCATTTTTAATATATTTTTATTGATTTCAGAGAGGAAGGGAGCGGGAGAGAGAGATAGAAACATCAATGATGAGAGAGAATCATTGACCGGCTGCCTCCTGCACGCCCCCTACTGGGGATCGAGCCCACAACCCGGGTATGTGCCCTTGGCCAGAATCAAACCTGGGACCCCTTAGTCTGCAAGTCAACGCTCTATCCACAGAGCCAAACTGGCCAGGGCAGTATTTATTCATTTCTTTGGTCCTTGCGAGCGCGTGCCGGAGAGCTATCAGTTTTGATGAGGAAGACAGAGGAACCCCAGGACCATAGGATAAGCTTGGGGCAGTTGGCTCTATCCACTGGATTCCCAGCTACCAGGGCTGGGAATGGGCAGGAGCTTTGGGAACACAGCTGGGGACTGAGCCCAGCAAAGGGTGGGCAGACTGGAGAAGGCAGAAAAGAGCTGAGGGGGTGTGTTGAGGGTGGGGCACGCTTTCCCAGGCTCTCTTCCCAGGCGGTACTGACCAAGTCTTTCCTACCTAAATCAGAAAAAGAGAGTAATAGGCCTTGGTTTGTGCTGCCTGAGGCCAAGCCTGGCTGAACCTCTGTCCTACGGCAGAACCCCCTTGTGCTTGAGGATTGCAGACTTCATCAGCCACTTTCCTTCACCCCTTTCTCTCCTTCCCATTCCTCCCATGCAGCAGCTAAGAATAGGTCTAGGCCAGTGATGGCGAACCTATGACACGCGTGTCAGAGGTGACACGCGAATTCATTTTTTGGGTTGATTTTTCTTTGTTAGATGGCATTTAAATATATAAAATAAATAACAAAAATATAAGTCTTTGTTTTACTATGGTTGCAAATATCAAAAAATTTCTATATGCGACACGGCACCAGAGTTAAGTTAGGGTTTTTCAAAATGCTGACAGGCTGAGCTCAAAAGGTTCCCTATCACTGGTATAGGCTATGCTGGGGCGAGGGGGTTAGAACTAGAAAGACTGGAGATCTTTATTTGTGAAGCATTTAGCAAATGCCTGCCCCTTCAATAAGATCTCCAAGGGAAAAGGGTGAGTGTGTGCTATATTTTAAAAATATTTTCTATTGATTTTAGAGAGAGGAAGGGTGAAGGAGAGAGAGATGGAAATATCAATGATGAGAGAGAATCATTAATTGGCTTCCTCCTGCCCGCCCCCTTCTGGGGATTGAGCCTGAAACCCAGGCCTGTGCCCTGACCAGGAATCGAACCGTGACCTCCTGATTCATAGGTCGATGCTCAGCCACCGAGCCATGCTGGCCGGGCAAGTGTGTGCTTTTGTGACATCTGAGTTTTATGGACTTGACCTTTGTTCCTTCCGCTGTCTTAAAGTGCAGGACTTCATAGGCTCTGAGGGCCTAGAAGGTGGGGCAGAGGAGGGGCGTGAAGCGGGGCCTGCTGGAGTGGAAGCAGATGGCATTGCTCAGCTGTGAGAGAGATGGATAAGGAGCCCAACGTTCCCCCTGCCGGCCCAGCACAAAACGAGAAGTGGGACTATGCAGGGCACGGGGAATTTAGGTCCAACTTCCCAAAAGGTCATATGTTATTATGTGTTAGACATAGAGCTGAAAGGTTGAAAAAGGGAGGGCCCCTCCTGCTCTGGGAATCCGTTTTATTCTCTGGACCCTTTCACCCTGAAAAACACACGTTATGTTAATATGCAAAGTTGCTTATGCAACTTCAGGCGGTTGGCAGAGCCTCTGGAGCCCAGCAGTGGACATTGTAGGGGTCTGTGGACTCCAGGTTAAGAAACCTGCATAGCCTGGCCAGCGTGGCTCCGTGGTTGAGCGCCAACCTATGAACCAGGAGGTCACGGTTCGATTCCTGGTCAGGGCACATGCCTGGGTTGGGCTGGGGGCTCGACCCCCAGTGTGAGTTGTGCAGGAGGCAGCCGATCAATGATTCTCATCATTGATGTTTCTATCTCTCCCTTTCCACTCTGAAATCAATAAAAAAAAAAAAAATTTTAAAAACAAAACCCAACCTGTATCACTTGGGTACAGAGGTTTTTCTTTAAAGCCGTTGGGTAAACCCCGATGGTCTCTTCTAGCCTAAGAAGCTGTTTTGCCCGAAAGCACATACATTTTCCCCCTCTCACAGTCTGAGCTGTAAGAATGGGGAGGCGCGAGGGCTGCACGGGTGGAGGGAGCAACCAGAGGGAAGAGAGGCCAGGAAGAGGGGGATCAGGAGTTGTAACCCGATGGGGCCAGCCTGATCCTTGGGGAAGAGGAAACCACTGCTGAGACCCTCTCATGCTGACTGCGCCCCCGCCTTGGCCCCCCTGCCAGATGTGCTGATGCTGCTGATGACAGACGTGCTAGTGTTTCTCCAAGAGAAGGACCAGAAGTACATCTTTCCTACCCTGGTGAGACCTTCCACCTCCTTTCTCAACCAGCACAGACGAGTGTTTCAGGCCCTTTTTGCTTTCCTCCCTGAGTCCGAAAGAACCCTGAAATAGCCATGGTTGTAACCATTACTATAATAAAATAAGAAGGAATAACTAACAGGTGTTGTTACTGGGTGCAGGCACTTTAACACTTGTGAGGAAGGCCAATTAATACCCCCCCCCTTTTTTTTTTTTTTACCCCCCCTTTTTTAATATAAATCTTTATGGTTGGAGGTATTACATATTCCCTTTTTCCCCCATTGACCTCCTCCAGTCCGCCCCCACTCCCTGCCCCAGGCCTTCACCACCCTATTGTCTGTGTCCATGTATTTGCATATATGCATATAAGGTCTTTGGTTTATTAATACTCCCTTTTTGTAGGTGAGGAAAGTAAAGCTTAAAGTTAATTAAACTGTCCAGGGTTACATGTGCTTCTAGGTCCTCTCTGGCTGGCACCAAAGCCAGGGCTCTTAACTTGGACTGTAGGTGGACTCTTCCACCCTTTGTGTATTCCGGAAGAGCTGAAGAGCATCCAGATACCCAAGGCTTACTCCTTCCTTTCCCTGACTGACAGGACAAGCCCTCGGTGATATCACTGCAGAATCTCATCGTCCGGGACATTGCCAACCAGGAGAAAGGGATGTTTCTGATCAGCGCGGCCCCCCCTGAGATGTATGAGGTCCACACGGCATCCCGGGATGATCGCAGCACCTGGATCCGAGTCATTCAGCAGAGTGTGCGCATGTGAGTGTGTGTGTGGCCTCGGCACCTGCCGCTTCGGCTCCAAGCCACAGCGCTCCCTGGGACCAGAACCCAGGCTTCAGAGGTGGAGGCAGAGGCTGGGGGCAGACAAGAGGGCCCAAGGCAGGGGAGGTCATCTTATGTTCTCATATGTGATGACAACCCCAATCACCTGTCAAATGCAACATGAGCTGACGAGCAAAGGAATGTTTTGAGCTGTAATATGGTGGAATACCTGCCAGGCCGACAGTCCAATTGCAGCTGCTTTACCATTTGGTCTGTAGGCAGTGGGCTGCTATTTGGATTGGATTGGATTTTACCTCTGTTGTCTAAAAAGGAATGAAAAAGAAGATAATAAAAGCATTGATACTGGAGATAAGAGGAGCAAGTCTCATAAACAAACTCCATACAAGAGAGACAAGAAGGAAATTGTTCAGTGTGCTACAGCAGCAAATCTTTTTTTAAAAATAATATAGGTTTTTGTGTTTTTTTAGAGAGAGAGAGAGAGAGAGAGAGGAAGGGAGAGGGAGAGAGGAAGGGAGAGGGAGATAGACACATTGATGAGAGAGAAATACTGATCGGCCGCTTCCTGCACACCCCACACTGGGGATCAAGCCTGCAGCCCGGGCACGTGCCCTGACCAAGTATCAAACCATGACCTCCTGGTTCATAGGTCGAAGCTCAGCCACGCCAACTAGGCTAAAGCAGCAAATCTTTAGCTTCTGATGGACACACATTAGATTTGAGGCAGTCAGTCAAGTAAAGTGCATGTAAAATGTTGAAAATTGATTCTTGAAGATTACACTCAATTAGGATATTTATAATTTTTTTCAGCTTTCAGAGAATGGATTCTTCTCCACTTTATAATATATGAACCTATTTTTTTCATTATTAACACTATTATAGATATCCCCCATTCCCTCCTCTTGTTCCCCCTCCAGCCAGCTCCTGTCCTCCTGTAAACCTATTATATTAACTTCTGCAATCTAGACTTTTGAACTAATTTTTCAGAAATGCGTACAATACTATGAAATTGCCTATTTTAGCAAAACAGTGCAAAATACCTGTTCTATTGACAGTAGATCTCCAGTGGCCTCTTTATTAATAGTATTAATAGTTGTAATTGTGAAAATTATAATATTATTCATTATAGTTCCTTGAGCCTCTGCTATTATTAAAACACTCTTTTTTTAAAAAAATATATTTTATTGATTTTTTACAGAGAGGAAGGGAGAGAGATAGAGAGTTAGAAACATCGATGAGAGAGAAACATCGATCAGCTGCCTCCTGCACATCTCCTACTGGGGATACGCCCGCAACCCAGGTACATGCCCTTGACCGGAATCGAACCTGGGACCTTTCAGTCCGCAGGCCGACGCTCTATCCACTGAGCCAAACCGGTTTCGGCAAACACTCTTATATTATTGCATTTAATACTAACAAAAACCCATAAGGAAGATAGTATTCCCATTTTTCCAAAAGAGGAAATAGAAAGTTGATCACCTAGCAATAGTGGAGCCAGGATTTGAGCCCCATTTGCTTGAGGTCAAAGCCTGTAGTTGTCCCTCTGCACTATGCCGCCTCTCCAGGTGATCTCAGGGGCGGGATATGCATCCCACTAAATGCAGAGGATCGGTGCTAAGAAAGGGGGCGCGTCAGGAGTGAAGGGAGCCAGGCATGCGGCCGATGGGTCATACCAGGGAAGCATGAACACGTTTGCGAAGGAGGGAGAGTGACGCCTGGTCCGTAGCCTCGCTTCCTCCTTACCCCCACCGCCCTGTTACCTTTCCAGATGCCCATCCAGAGAGGACTTCCCCCTGATTGAGACAGAGGATGAGGCTTACCTGCGGCGAATCAAGAGTAAGTCCCACCCACAAAATTCGTTAAATAATTTAGGATACAGTCACACAATGAGATGGCTGTCTGAGGGCTGATAGAGATCCATAACGGAAACATACTGTTAAGTGAAAAGAGCAAGGTTTAAAACAGTGTAAAGTGCATGCTACCATCCGTGTAAAAATAATGGGGATAAATATGTCATGTAGTGTGTGTGTGTGTGTGTGTGTGTGTGTGTGTGTGTAATATTTCAAAAAAGGTCAGATATTATTATGGCTGCTTCTGGGAAGGGGAACTAGGAAGACCTGGGTTGAGACAGTAACTTTTTTTTTTAAAAAATATATTTTATTGATTTTTTACAGAGAGGAAGGGAGAGAGATAGAGAGTCAGAAACATCAACGAGAGAGAAACATCCCCTGGGGATGTGCCTGCAACCCAGGTACATGCCCCCGACCGGAATCGAACCTGGGACCCTTCAGTCCGCAGGCCGACGCTCTATCCACTGAGCCAAACCGGTTTCGGCGAGACAGTAACTTTTCACTATAGGGTCTTATTTCACTTAGGGCATGATCTGCATCCCAGCTAGCAGGGAGGCATAAAGGAACAAGGAGAGTTTATATCCATTTTTTAAAAATATATTTATTGATTTGAGAGAGAGAGAGAGAGAGAGAGAGAGAGAGAAACATCGATGTGAGAGAGAAACTTTAATCAGTTGCCTCCTGCTTACACCCCAACTGGGGATCATGCCTGCAACCTGGGCATGCGCCCTGACTGGGAACCACTCCGGCAACACTTTGGTGCATGGAATGATGTTTGATCCACTGAGCCACACTGGCCAGGGCATATATCCATTTCTTTTTTTAAAATGTTTTTATTGATTTCAGAGAGAGGGAGAGAGAGATAGAAACATCAATGATGAGAATCATCGACTGGCTGCCTCCTGCATGCCCCCTAACGGGGATCTAGCCTGCAAGCTGGGCATGTGCCCTGACCTGGAATCAAACCATGACCTCCTGGTTCATGGGTCCACGCCACACTGGTCGGCAATATGTCTCATTTCTTTTGAGGACAGATCTGGAAGATGCACCCGTTGGCCATAATTTAGTCATATGGCAACATCTCGCTGCAAATCAGGCTGGGAACTGTAGTCAAAATGGGTAGCATGCACCCAGATGAAACTTGTACACATGCTCTAACTAAAGGAAGATGTGGAGAGTGAAAACTGGCGGACAACCTTCAGTCCCTACCACAACCATTTTTACTCTATTTTACTTATTGATTGATTTTAGAGCAGCGGTTCTCAACCTGTGGGTCGCGACCCCTTTGGGGGTCGAACGACCCTTGCACAGGGGTTGCCTAAGACCATCGGGAAACACATATATAATTACATATTGTTTTTGCGATGAATCACTATGCTTTAATTATGTTCAATTTGTAACAATGAAAATACATCCTGCATATCAGATATTTACATGACGATTCATAACAGTAGCAAAATTACAGTTATGAAGTAGCAACGAAAATAATTTTATGGTTGGGGGTCACCACCACATGAGGAACTGTATTAAAGGGTCGCGGCATGAGGAAGGTTGAGAACCACTGTTTTAGAAAGAGAGAGAGGGAGGAAAGGAGAGAGAGAGAGAAACATCAATTTGTTGTTCAACTTGTTATGCATTCATTGATTGATTCTTATATGTGCTCTGACCAGGGATCGAACCCACAACCTTGATGTATCGGGACTACACTCTAACCAACTGAGCTACCCAGACAGGGATATCACTTTCGTTTTTAAAACAGAAGTGTATATGTTACTTTCCCCCGCAAAATGTTTTTTTCTTTTTCATACATGCCAGAAATCAAAATTAAGTCCTGCTGCTCTGCCCAGCCCTGGCCTGTAATCCCTAAGGCTGCCTCTGGGATGGCTGCCCCTCCACTGCTGGCTCTCTGGGTGCCCTCTCTGGATGCCCTCTCTGGGTGCCCTCTCGGCCCTCTAGCGTGCTCACCTGTTCCTTGTCCACAGTGGAGCTGCAACAGAAAGACCGGGCACTGGTGGAGCTGCTGCAGGAGAAGGTCGGGCTGTTTGCCGAGATGACCCATTTCCAGGTGGAAGAGAATGGCAGCTGTGGGATGCCCCTGCCCACCCTGCCCAGGGGCCTTTTCCGTTCTGAGTCCCTCGAGTCCCCTCGTGGCGAGCGGCTGCTGCAGGACGCCATCCGTGAGGGTGAGGGAATGCCCAGGGAAGAGTCCAGGCTCGTCCACTCACTGTCACAGACTGTGGACACACAGCTAGACCCGGACACATGCAGACAAAAGGGATGTCCGCCCCACAGTCCATAGCCTCCCCGAGGGCCTGCTGTGTGCGCGGTGCTGGGAAAGGCAGGGGAAGAGACGGGCACCTGTCATCCTACATGTACCTGTGCTGCCCTTGGGCCCCTTCCATGAACTGTGCCTTGTACATGGTGGTGTGAGTGGGAGCCCACATGGGCAGGGTATTCCCCTTGATGTCCGCGTAGTCCAAGCGTATTGGGCAAATGGCCTCGCCTCCCATTCCTCACGGGGTTCTGTAGTACCTCTGTCCTCACCTCTTCTTTCCCTTCAGTGGAGGGCCTGAAAGACCTGCTCGTGGGGCCTGGAGTGGAGCTGCTCTCGACCCGGGAACCAGGCCTGCCCACGGAAGCAGAAAGTGGTGGTAACATGAGTCCTGGAATCACCGCCAGTGAGTGCCAGGGCAGGGGACCAGGGTGGGGGGGGGGTGGTTAAAGAGAATGGGGTGGTACCAGGGGCCGAGTGCTGTCAGGGTCCTGTGAGCTCAGCCCATCCTTTTCTCCTCAACAGATGGTGAGGCCAGAACCTTCAATGGCTCGATCGAACTCTGCAGAGCCGACTCAGACTCCAGCCAGAAGGTGGGTCCTCAGGAGATGTCAGGACTTGGCTAGAGGATGGGAAAGGGACAGCTGGCCTATAGATTCCTAACACGGAGCTATCAGGGACAGGCACCAGGGACTTGTGTGCCTGCTGACTCCCTCTCCTTGCCCATTTCTGCAGGATCGAAATGGGAATCAGCTGAGATCTCCCCAGGAGGTGAGATGGGAACTGGATGCTATGGGAGACTGAAGGGAGGCTATTCTTAGTCTTGAGAAATTGGAGCCCAGTTTGGAGGGTTGAGGGGGAGAGTCTACACCTCAAAGTTGTAAGTTTTACTGTCCCCACACCCACACTTATTCCAGCTTCCGGGCAGTTCTCCCATCCTGAAGCTTGAGCCCTGTTCCCACTCTCTCCTCTCTCCTCAGGAAGCGTTGCAGCGATTGGTCAATCTTTATGGACTTCTACATGGCCTACAGGTCAGTGGGGCAGGGGCAGGAATGGGGAAGGGGAGGAGCTAGCGCGGAGCTGCCCATTCAGGTGGGACAGAGTCATTCTGATAGGCCTTTTTTTTTTTTTTTAATTAAATATGTTTTTATTGATTTTAGAGAGAGAGGAAGGGAGAGGGAGAGAGAAAGAGAGAAACATCAATTGGTTGCCTCCTGCACGCACGCTGACCGGGGATCAAACCCGCAAACTGAGTATGTGCCCTGGCTGGGAATCGAACCGGTGACCCTTCGGTGCATGGGACAGTGCTCAACCAGCTGAGCCACATTGGCCGGGGCCTAATAGGCCTTTCTAAGCCTTCTCCCAGCTGGAACACTCCAGGCATCCTGACCTGGGTCCTGGGGGTGAGGGTGAGGGACAGGAGAAGCGGGGGTGTCTGATAGACTCGTCTGCCCCGTTCCACCCAGGCGGCTGTGGCCCAGCAGGATACGCTGATGGAAGCCCGAGTGCCCGAGGGCCCGGAGCGACGGGAGAAGCTGACCCGAGCCAACTCTCGGGACGGGGAGGCTGGCAGAGCTGGGGCTACCCCTGGGGCTCCTGAAAAGCAGGCCACGGAACTGGCGTTGCTGCAGCGGCAGCACACGCTGCTGCAGGAAGAGCTGCGGCGCTGCCGGCGCCTCGGGGAAGAGCGGGCGGCCGAGGCCGGCAGCCTGGAAGCCCGGCTCCGGGAGAGTGAGCAGGCCCGGGCCCTGCTGGAGCGGGAGGCCGAAGAGGCTCGCCGGCAGCTGGCCGCCTTGGGCCAGGCCGACTCCGTTCCCCAGGAGGCCCCCTGGGCCCGCAGGCCTCTGGATCCCCGGCGCCGGAGCCTCCCGGCCGGCGATGCCCTGTACTTGAGTTTCAGCCCCCCTCAGGTAAGGGAGCTTGGAGGAGTGAACTGACCTGAGGTGGACTTCAGGGCCCATGGGGGAACCTGAAAGGAACTGGGGACTTGAGCCCAAATGAAATGGGGCAACCGACTCGAAGGACCAGTGAGAGCACTGAACATTTTAGGGGGGTGCAGAAGGAGTCAGTCAGTGCTGGAGGTACTGGAGAGAATTGGGCCTTGGGGCCCAGACGGCCCATGGCCCCAGCTGAGCAGGGCCTGCAGTTGTCACACGCCTCAGTCCCTGACCTGCTGCTTTTCTTGCGCGCGGCCCACAGCCCAGTCGAGGCCATGACCGCCTGGATCTGCCTGTGACTGTCCGCGCTGTCCATCGGCCCTTTGAGGATCGAGAGGGGCAGGAGCTGGGCAGCCCCGAGGAGCGGCTACAAGACAGCAGCGACCCTGACACTGGCAGCGAGGAGGAAGGAAGCAGCCGCCTGTCTCCGCCCCATAGTCCCCGAGGTGAGATCCTGGCAGAGACGTGGAATGGAAGTGGGGTGCCACCTGGGTTCAGACCCTTGGGCTGTGCTTTCCAAGTGGAGCCTGTGTCCTGGAGCCGGGGACATTCAGGAAGGCCCCTCACTAACCATTGGGGTCTACGGTAACCTTTGGGAAGGACACAAGGATTTCCTGCTTTGTCCGATGGCGAGTGAGTGGTGAAACTCTAGGAAGCAAAGAATGTAGGGCCACTCCTTCTCTAGTAAGTCATTTGATTCCCAGCCTTTTGAAGTAGAAATCCATATATATTAGAGGGAGAAAGGAAGGGGGAGAGAGAGAGAAACATCCACTTATTTATGCTTTCATTGGTTGATTCTTGTATGTGCCCTGACCCGGGACGGAACCAGCAACCTTGGCGTATTGGGATGATGCTCTAACCAACTGAGCTACCCAGCCAGGGTTAGAAATAAATTTATTTTCAGAAAGAGATTTTTTTTTTAAGTTAAAAAAAAAAAAGTCACAGACTTCCAAGTTCTTTTAGTTGGCTCAGGAAATACAAAATAACCCAAAGCTACTATAACTTCATATAGCAATCTTAAAATATCTGGTTATTTTATTAATCAAATTGTATCTTCGTATACTTACCAGTATATAAAGTACCTACCAAGGTGTGAGCACACCGCTTGCTTTGTTGACGAAGGTTTTCCCCTCATCGAGGATTCACCGACGTTGGTCCTCCCTCACGGCCCGCAGAGCCCCTCAGCCCACAGATGGGGAGGCATGCGTGTAGGGTGGGTGCTCATGGAGCCTCTGTCCACGCACTAACGTTGCCCTGCCCCCCGCAGATTTCACCAGAATGCAGGACATACCGGAGGAGACTGAGAGCCGCGATGGGGAGCCTGTAGCTCCGGAGAGCTAAGGGGGCCCCTCCCTCCTTCCGGTGCCCCCTGAAGAATATTACTGAGGGAAGCAAACCCTGGGGACTCCGACCTGCCGATGAGCAGCGAACACTTGAACTGCTGATTGCCCTTGCCAGCTCTTGGGATCCTTGGATACCTGGGGCCATTTAGGAAGCTGGGGGGAGTTAGGCCACAGTGCCCCCTGGTGGCATCCAGAAGTACACCACAGATGCCAATTCTTCATGCCTTCTTCCCTCGACTTTAGGAAAGTTTATTTATTTATTGTTTATTAGTTATGGAGGGAGAAAGGGGATTTAGAGGACCAGGGACATGGGAGCCAAGCCATAGGGAACAAGGGGCCTTGTCCTTTAACACTACTGGGGTTTATTCAGACGTAACCATGCAGCTGCCGGATTCCAGCCCTGCCACCCTCCCAGCAACATCGTCTTTGAGGAGAGGCTGCAGCTGTAGGACCCGACTGCCCCTTCAAGAAGGGCTATGGGCAGGGCCATATCCCTTTCCCCTCAACCTCTTACTGCTGTTCTCTCTTCTCTCCGTCCTCGGTGGAACCCCAGGGAGTCACCCTGGCTTCCTAGAGTGGATGGAATAGGGGTTGAGGTGGCCGTCATGGTCTGTTGGGGGTGAGGGGGAAACCCACAGGGACCAGAATGTCTTTTTGTTGTTTTCTTTTTTTTTTTTTTTTTGTACCAAAGCCAACTGCACGTGTTTTATATTTTTAAGAGAAGATTGTAGGCGATTAGAAATTGCAGCCTTCTATCTCCACATCTCTGAAGAACTTGAGGGGTGGGGGAAATAATGACGTCACCCCTCATCCATAGCAACAGGGGAACTAGTCTGACCTCTTCCGCAGCCATTTGGAAACAAAGTTCTAGGGTGAGTTGGGAAATCTCTATGAACCCTGACCTTATCCCCCAGCTCACCAACCATGACCTGAAACCTCCACCTGATTTGGGGGGGATTTTCAATGGACCCCCAAATGCCCACCAGCGCCAAGCATTTTTCTACCAATTTGATTGTGTAAAAAAACCAGCAAAACAGAAACAAAAAAACGATAAAAGGTAAAGAAAGGAAAATTAAACACTTGGAACCCCGTGAAGTGCTGTCTCTGAATGTCTGAGGTTCTGATGGTGCAGATGAGGGGAGAGCCAGGGAGTGGCCCATGTCCCTCGGAAAGGGGCCTTTCCTCCCCCGGAAGGGCAAGGTGGCCCGAACAAAAGGAACTGCTACCTTCTTTTTCTGTTGTCATTACCGATATTCACAAACAAGGATTGGGGATTCCAATATTAGAAGACTTGTTTTCATCTCATTTGCATGCTGTGCTCAGAAACGGCCTCGGCCTCTGGCCCCCTCCTCTCCCTTTGGCCACAGTTCCTCTGAGCCTCTTCGGTGTCCTTTGTTTTCAGGTTCAGCCACCACGCTGACCTGGTTCTTCACGTGTCAGAGCCCTGGGCACCCTCTTCCAGAGGGTGCCCCTCAGAGGAGCTCTCCTTTGCTCTCTGAGAGGCAGTGAGAGATCGGGTTAATTTCAGTTCTCGTTTTGATTAATTTTACTTCCTGTTTCCGGATAATACCCTACTCTGGGGCTGTGGGGGGAGGCGAGTCTAGAGTTGTAGAAATGCTGCAATAGGTGCACATATGTCCGTAGGAGCTGATGGGGTGAGATGAGAAGAGTGGGGCTCAAGACCTCAGCTAGAAAGAGGAATTGGAATCCCATGGTGGGGGGCGGGCTTGGTGGAGCAGCCAGCACCCTCCACTCCTGTGATGCTCATCTACGAGGTACTTGCTCATCCATTACGGAGTCTGCAGGAGGAATTGCTGTCATTTTACGGACATGGAAATCTAGGTGGCAGGCCCAGCTGCAGGCCTTCGCTTCCCCCTCCACAACTCTGCCTAAAAATATCAAAGCTCCAGGTTTCAAACCCTGACACGTGGCTCAGCAGCCCGCTGCTGTGTCAGCTGGGACCCAAGGCTGTAAAAAGGTGCAGAGGAGGGAGGAAGACTAGTGCTGGGTAAGAGGAGGGTGTTAGGTTGCATCCGAAGACCACTGAAGGGAACACAGGCTCCTCCCACGTGTTCACAGCGGCCCAGTGAAGGATGCTGGGCAGGCCCCGAGTGTGTGTAAAGCCCAAGCTCTATTCCTGGCAGTGCTGCCCCTCCTGTGACCCCCCCCCCCCCCGCCGCCCCAACCAAAACCCCCTCATTCTTAGAAACAAGATGTCCTGTTGCCCCATTTTCGGTTTTAACTGTCTCTCCTGCAGTTTCGAAGCTCTCTGTTTGTGCTACAAGGAGCCAGGGCCCAGATATTTGCCAAAACAATGCCTTTCCATTCGAGAGGAGCTGCCCAGCCAGCCTCCGTTGCTGTGCCCTCTCCTGCCTCCCCCCGCCTCCTAAGGGAGGCCTAGGTGCATTCATCTCTGGATTGGCCCTGTTTAGACTTTGTCAATATTTACCCCTGGGTCCCATAAAGCAGAGGCCCCTACAGGAGCCAATATCCGGAGCCAGCAGAGGTAGGGTGATTGAGGAGCTGAGGCGTGGGATGGCCGAAGGGTGCTTAGGTGGGTAAGGATTTCCCATCCTGGATCGGCTGGGAACAGACCTGGAGTTTTAAAACCAGTTTAAACATTACCAAAAAGAGGAAATTAAACAAGAGGCTAGTTAAATCTATTCAGTATTGCTGAACGTGGTGAATTGGGTGGTTGTTTACAGCCTCCTCGGCAACCGGATGGAGCTGGTGCAGGGGCGCCTGCAGGCCCTGTGGTGCCCTTGCCAGAGGGGCTCCACACACGGGCGCTGCTCCCGGCGGTTGTGGGACCTTGAGTGGCTAGAGTTGTTAGGGTTGTGAGACATGCCAGAGCTTGGGGTGGGGGAATGGAAATGGGAGCTCCACCCCAGCTTCTTTCTGCCACCTCCCTTTTCAGGGGCTGCCCCCCAGAAAGTCCCTTGTGATCGCCAACCTTCATCATTGCTGGGTCTTGGGTCTCTGTGGATCTGGAAACCAAGGGGGAACCCCCTGCCCCAAAGAACACACCTTCAAAAGGGGCTGGAGGAGCCAACCCCTCACTCAGTTCTTACATAAAATTTTCATTTTACTCCAGAGCATGTAAAAATCATCCCAGATAAGACCTCTATGGCCCTCCAGCCCCATCTCCCAGCTACCTCCTCATTGTTTCCTTTTCCTTCTCTGACTCCATTTTACACAGAGTGTAAGAATAACAGCTAATGATCAGGTAGCAACCCATTTTACAGATGAGAAAACAGGTACAGAGAAAGAAAGGAACTTAAAGAGTTCCCTCGGAGCTAGGATGTGAGTCCAGGTGCTCTGACTCTGGGATAGGGAGGAAGAATAGCAGCCCAGAGCCATGCTTCCCACTTCTCCAGCCCACCTTCAGCCTCTTCTCCCACCCCCATTCTGCAGCTCTCCCCTCACCACGCCTCGCCCACATCCTTGACTTGTTATTTTCACTTCTCCCTCTAAATCAGGGGTCCTCAAACTACAGCCTGCGGGCCACATGCAAATACAAATATTGTATTTGTTCTCGTTTTGTTTTTTTACTTCAAAATAAATATGTGCAGTGTGCATAGGAATTTGTTCATAGTTGTTTTTTTTAAAACTATAGTCTAGCCCTCCAACAGTCTGAGGGACAGTGAACTGGCCCCGTTTAAAAAGTTTGAGGACCCCTGCTCTAAATCCTGCTTTAAGGAGAGACAGACCCACACGGACTCCCAGCCAACGCCAGAGTTTTACACGGGGCGGGGCTGGTGCCAGGGATCCAGCAAGATTCCACAGGTGGCATCTCCCCACATGGGAATTACAGCTTTTGCAGCTGAGGTTTTTGCAGACATCGAGTTTCCGTGGGTACCGCTGAGGGTAAGAAGATGGAGATGGCCAGGGGAGGAGGGCATTTTTGGTCCTGGCACCAGAGAAGAACAAGGGTGCATCCGTTTGAGATGGAGAGCAGGAAGGACAGGCAGGGGGAGAGGCAGGCACTGGCTCCCGATCCATGAGTCTAGGACCCTTAGGGGACAGAAGGCAGAGGTGGGACAAATAATGCTTTTGTCCACACTGAACTGAAGGTGGAATTGGGATAAAGAGTCAAGATCACTTCTGGATGGTCCAGATGTTTATTTTTAGATCCTCCTCTTTCCCACCTCCAAATGGAGACATAAGCTTTGTCCTACCAGCGCTGACCTGGGCCTCGCTGGCTGCATGCCACCACAGCCAGAATAATTGAAGATAAGACTTTCCCCGAGGGCATGTCGGCCTGGCAGACAGGCCCGCCCTCCCTAGGACTCGCAGATCCTGTCCCTGGCAGACCCCAAAAAGAGGGTGCGTAGTTTGTACCTTCACCCAGGTGTTCCTTTGTCCAATTGGTGAGCATGGTAGAAGGGCCGCTCTCCTGGGGGTGCTCTCCACTCACCGCCTGCCTACCTCCTTTAAGGCCCCCTGCTTCACCCCGGTCCTGGGGCCACAGCCACGCTCGGAGATCCCTGAAGGTGCCTGCCAGGGCCTGCCGGGACTCCTGCCGCAGGAGACAGTACAGCACGGGGTTGAGGCAGCTGTTGCTGTGTACCAAGCAGCTGGTGACAGGGCAGACGTGGGTGTGGACGGCGGAGAAAGTGCTGTCCCAGGGAACCAGGTCAGAATTCACGAGGACACTCCAGAGAGAGGTCATGTGGCTGGGGAACCAGCAGAGGGAGGAGGCGGCCACCAGGATGCAGACGGAGCGGCTACGACCCTGCTGTCCCGCCGCCTTCTTCGCAGGAAGGCCAGCAGCAGCAGGTAGCTGGTGGTGGTGATACCCAGGGGCACCACGAAGAACAGCACCACCCTCTGCAGCTGGTAGGCCCCCAGCCAGTACCTGCTGGAGAAGCGCAGCAGGCAGAGATGCACGCCCCACACCTCCCCCTCTGTCCCAAAGACTGCCGTGGGCACTGCTAACAGGGCAGCTGCCACCCACACTGCCAGGGTGGCCTTGCGGGCCCAGAAGAGGGGAAGAGGGGTGCCTGGTCCTGCAGCCATGGCCACCACCCAGTATCGGGCAACACTCAGCGCCGTGATGAGGAAGACGCTGGCGTAGATGTTGAAGACAGTGGCCGTCAGGAACATCTTGCAGAGGGCACCTCCAAAGGGCCAGTGGGAGCCCAGGGCGGACTCAGCCGCCCAGAAGGGGAGAGTGAGTGCCAGCCCCAGGTCTGCCAGAGCCAGGTTGAAGACAAAAGTGTCAGACGGTGGGCAAGGGGCTCGCCGAGCACAATTACCCAGCACCCACAGCACGGCCAAGTTTCCCATAAATCCAACGGCCCCTACAAGCCCATAGGCCAGGGCAAGCACAACCCTCAGGGCAGGGAATTCAACAGGCAGCGCAGTATCACCCACACTCAGCACACCGCTGGCAGAGGTGCTGAGCCAGAAAACAGGCAGAGGGGCAGAGAGATTGGGTGTGGGCATCTCAGGGCATCAGAAGCCACAGTGCTGAGCAGCAAAGGCCGAAGGCAGCCCGCTTAGCGCCAGACTGGCAGGGCCTCTCAGCAGGAGGCTCCAGCCCTCAGAGGGCGGGGTGTGGATGGGACAACCCACCCGTCCCTGTGGGTCATGATTGGTGGTGGGTGAGGCAGGATGAGAGAGGGCCGGACATGGGGGGTGTGCGCATGTGTGTGTGGTGTGTATCTGTGTAGGAAGGGCTCTATGCAGTAGAGAGGAGAGAAAGGGGAATTACTCCACCATGAAAATCAGACCCAGGGAGAGACCCAGAGACACCCCATCTCAGGGATGACAGGAAGCAAACTGCAGACCCTCTTCCTGCCAGTTCGCAGGGGCCCCCTTCTCTGCAGAAAGTGCTTCCTTCGCCAAAACCGGTTTGGCTCGGTGGATAGAGCGTCGGCCTGCGGACTCAAGGGTCCCAGGTTCGATTCCAGTCAAGGGCATGTACCTTGGTTGCGGGCACATCCCCAGTGGGGGGTGTGCAGGAGGCAGCTGGTCGATGTTTCTCTCTCATCGATGTTTCTAGCTCTCTATCCCTCCCCCTTCCTCTCTGTAAAAAATCAGTAAAAATATATTTTAAAAAAAAAAAAGAAAGTGCTTCCTTGGAGCCTGGGGGAAGGGACTTGGAGGGGGCATATGGCAGGAAATCAGAGTGGGTGTCAGGGAGAGAGAGGGAGAGGGAGGGAGGGAGAGGAGGAGGGAGGGAAAGAGAGCAAGCAGGGGTTCAGAGTCCCAGATCTGCTACTCACTCGCTGCGTGACTTTGGGTAAGTCACTTTGCTCCCCCGAGCCTCAGTTTCCTTGCTTAAAATTTTCAGATAAAAGTCTCTGCTTCAAAAGTTCGGTGTAGCCCTTGCTGGCTTGGCTCAGCGGATAGAGCGTTGGCCTGTGGAATGAAGGGTCACGGGTTCAATTCCGGTCAAGGGCACATGCCTGGGTTGTGGGCTCGATCCCCAGTAGGAGGTGTGCAGGAGGCAGCCGATCAATGATTCTCTCTCATCATTGATGTTTCTCTCTCTCCCCCTCTTCCTTCCTCTCTGAAATCAATAAAAATATATATTTTTTAAAAAAGATCGGTGTGATGAAATTAGATAATACATGTAAAAACAAAACACTTTGTACGTTACTATTTGCACTAATGATTATAATTTTAAAGGAAAAGTTTGGGGGTGTTTGTGGCACAAGGGAGCAGGGTACTGAGCAATTATCACCAAGCTCAGGGAACCGTGCCAACTAAAACACAGGTTTAATTCACTGCAGCAGCAAGTGACCTTGAGGCTAAGGGCAGGGAGGGAAAGAGGAGAAGTCACAGCTTCCTGTTTCCTCCCTACTGGGAACACAGCCGGAGAGGCCCTGAGTGGACCTGGGCAGGCCCTCCCTTCTGTTCCTGCTTCTGCGTATTAAGTACAGTAGTCCTGCTAACCTCCCTCACTCCACTGCCTTTGCACCTTTCCTGCTCTCGTCGGTGGAGCCGGAAGTCAACGGCATCTCCCACTCTTCTCCAACCCCCAAACGCTATTTCAGAGATGGATCCTGAGATACACCGTCACCACACCTCATCCTGTCTCCCCATGATCTCAGTCCTAACCGGAAAACATGCTTCATTGGGTCCTCCCATTTTGTGCCCATATCCCTACCCTTTGCACAACTTGCTGTGATGGGAAAACAGAGGTGGGAGGTGGGTAGATAGAAGAGTGAGGCTTTTTCAAGGATTCCAGAATATTCAACACCTTCCTGCCCTCTGCCAACTCATTACAATGTTTGATGTTCAGTTTCCTTGGCGTGCTGGGGGAGGAGAAGGGCCCTTCAGGACAATAAATCAGCAGTGGTTTTTAAAAAATATGTCTTTTTATTGACTTCAGAGAGGAAGGGAGCAGGAGAGATAGAAACATCAATGATGACAGAGAATCATTGATTGGCTGCCTCCTGCCCCCCACCTCCACCCCCCACTGGTGATCAAGCCCGCAACCTGGGCATGTGCCCTGACTGGGAATCAAACCATGACAACTATTGAGTCATGCTGGCCAGGCAGCAGTGGGTTTAATGAACCTTCCAGAAGAGACCCAAAGGTAAAAAGATCCAGATGGTGCCAGGATGTTTGGGTTTTTCAGCAAGGGATACATGTGAAGGGGGTGGTAGAAGGGGAGGGCCCAGCCCAAGTTCAGATGAGTCCCGTGAGTTACCTCCTGGCCACCCATCTAAGCATCCCCTTGCCAATCTAGCAGTGAAGGTGTCTGCTTAATGCATCAGACTTACTTTCTCTTAGCTTGAAGAAAAGAAGCTGGGTCAGAATTCTGCTATCCATTTGCAATATCTGGTCCTGTGATCATTTCTTTTTTTACCTTTATTCATTTCTAATCTAAATCCTTTCCCTTGCCCTATCAACACCCGCCCTGTGGTTATGTAGAGAAGTGATGCCACCAGCTGGCCGAGTCAAAGAACTTCACTTTGGGCCCTTGCACTTTTCTAGAATTTTGTTGGTTGATTTATTGATCTTTCCTCCCTCCCTCCCTTCCTTCCCTCCTTTGCATTATTTATTCATTCGTGTGTTAATCACAGCATTTCCCAAACTATTACTATGTGCTAGGCACTGTGCTAGATGGTGGGAAGATAAAAATTAATAAAATAAGGTCCCTCACCTCATAAAATATAATAAACTTTTGAGATGGATGGTGGGATCTTTAAGATAATCTAGTCCAGCCCGGCTGGCATGGCTCAGTGGTTGAGCGTTGACCTATGAACCAGGAGGTCACGGTTGGATTCCCAGTCAGGGCACATGCCCAGGTTGCAGGCTCAATCCTCAGTGTGGGGTGTGCAGGAGGCAGCGATCAATGTTTCTCTCTCATCATTGATGTTTCTCTCTCTCTCCCCCTCCCTTCCTCTCTGAAACCAATAAAAATATATACGTATATTTAAAAAAGTGGCAGAGCATCAAAAAGAAAAATCTTAGGGATAAATCTGACAAAAAGGTGCGCATTATTGGCAAACTGAAAACTACAAAGCACTGATACCTTGAAAACATTGTAAGAAGCCAGACACAAAGATCATATATGATTCCATTTATATGAAATGCCCAGAATCAGCAAACCCATGGAGACAGAAAGTAGATTAGTGGTTGATGGTGGCTGACAGGAGAGGAAAATGGAAAGTAACTGTTAACGGGTGCAGGATTGCTTTAGGGGTGATGAAAATGATCTGGAATTAGATACTGGTCTGGCGGCACAACTTTGTGAATACACAAAAAGGCACTAAATTGTACACTTAAAGTACCCTTTTAAAAAGGGAAGATTTTATGGTTCATGAATTACAATCAGAATCCCAACAGCCATGTGTTTGGGGAAGACAAGGCAAAGGGGAAACAATGTTGTTTAATCTAAAATTCACTTGGGGGGATAGGGGCAGGACAAATTGAGTAAAAGGGTCAAATATATGGCAATGGAAGGAAACTAGACTTTTGATGGTGAACATGCAGTACAGTACACAGATACTGAATTATGTTGTACATTTGAAATTTATATAGTTATTTTAAAAATAAGTAAAATTCACTTGGAAAAAAATACACCTGTATGCAGAAAATGTAGAATGAGAATCGGCTCGTCCGAACAGATATTAAAATATACACGGGCCCAGCTGGTGTGGCGCAGTTGGTTGAGCATCATCCCATGTACCAGGAACTGGCTGGTTGGATTCCTGCTCAGGGCACATGCTTGGGTTGAGGGCTGGATCCCAAGTAGGGGGTGTGCAGCAGAAAGCCCACTGATGTTTCTTTCTTATAGATGATGTTTCTATCTCGCTCTCTCCCTCTCTCTAAAATAAATAAAAACATATTTTAAAAATATACATGCACATGGAATTACTGTAATAAAGACACTATAGCAAAGCAAATAGATCAATGCAACAGAAAAGCATGCAGAAATACATATTTCACATCCAATATCGGTGGCATGTGTACGAAGGGGAAACTTATTAAATGCTGAAAGGGAAACACTGCAAATTTGACTTTTTAAATGAATTTGTATTCTATTAATCCTATCAGAATGCAAACTTATTTGAAAAACAGTGCTGTATTATATTTATGTGAGCTAGAGACTCCTTGCAGCTCCAAGGTACCCCCATGTTGGAAATCTCTGGCTTCCAACATCAACTCTGACTTCTCGGTTGGCCTTCAAGGCCTTTCAGGCTCTGGCCCCCACACTCAGGCCAGTTCAACCTGAAGAGCTCGATCGCAGAACAGGGTTTCATAACCTATTACCACTTCTCCGCCCCGACTCAGATGTTCAGCTTCCATTTCTTTCAAATACTTCAGTGTAAGCGCCTTCAAGTCGAGCACTTCACCTTCTTCACCTGTTGATGATGCCACCTCGTCATACGCATCTGTCTGCGTGCCTGCCCGCCACCTTGTACTAGGAAGGCAGGACCCGTAGCTTTCCGCTTTATCTATGTCCTCCTCTTAAAACAATGCTTGGCGCACGGAAAGGAAACAAAAATAAACACACAAAACCATAAATTCTTCCAATGACCTTTAGGACGAATCATTTTCCGTTTCCTAAATAAGGTAACTGAAACGTGAAGTGGGCAAAAGACTCGAGAAAGCGCTTCCCCACTAGCGCCTGGGATCCCATAAGAATACAGCTCAATTTGGGGGGAAATCGGCGTAATTCCCAGACTTGTACGTATTATCGTGTAGGTTACCAATGTGCCCACAACAAAGATCGATTCTCCCCGCGCTAATTTCGCTTTAATGCGAGGATCAGTAACCATCTTTCTCTGGGGCAAGGCACGACAAGAAGGTCACACCCTACCAGCCTCGGCTAATGCCAGACGCCTGGAGATCCACGAGAGTCCAATCGGAATAGACGTTTTAACCGGAACTTCTTGGCCTCACGACCGGAAGAGACTGTGCGTCGGGGCGTTAGGGGCGGAAGTGACGGGAGGGTGGTTGTGGGATAGTTGGCGGGTGGTTGAGCC